GGTGGGGGGAGGAGGGGGGGGGGGGGATCAGCACATTCGCTACTTCACATCCTGGTATTCATTGCGTCACAAAAGTTGACAGGTATTCCTCCAAACTTTGAGTGGAATCACTTTATGCCTTTACAACCTAGAGCCGCCATATAGCTCTAGTGCCTAGCTCGAGCTCGAAAAGAAAAACAAACTAGTAGAAAAGAAAGGGGGGGGGTCGCGTACTGAGCCCCCCAAAAAGGGGAGCGTACGAGTTTGACCGAAATCCCCAACTAATGCTGTGCTCTGCACCAGCGTCTACCCGTCCGGGGAAAGAGTGTATGGCGCGATAAGGGGGATAATAGACAGCTTGGTACTCTCCTATCGTGCCATACAGCAGTCTGCCAACCTCCTATTTCCACATACAGTACCAGCAGTCTGCTACCATCCTATCTCCCCTCACTCTACCAGCTGTCTGCTATCCTATACAGCGCCATACACTCCTATACCGGACGCTGATAGACGCTGTGAAGCTGGTAGATCCTAGTTCGATACCTATACTGCCCAGCCCCTCGAAACGTCGGTTCACGCTGGTAAATACGCTAGATCGATATTTACACTTTTCCAGACGCTGACGGACGCTTGAAATATTTAACATATTACTTCTACATGACATACAGGGAATACGAGGAATTACAGTTTCCCTAACAATTGCTCAGGACAACTGACAACCCCACTGATGAGTGTTTTGCGCTGTTCGGCATGGAGGGGGCACTTTACACTGATGGATGTTGGTAGACGCTGACAGACGCTAGATCGATGCCTATACTTCCCTAGCCCTCGAGGCGTTCGCAGACGTTGGTGGACGCTGTCAGACGCTGGTGGACACTGCCGCTATAAAAAAAATAAAATAGACAAAATACAAAATAGCCTTAAGGAATGTTTTTTCCAACGGCCAGGAAGAAGCCGTTCAAGCCAGGAGTCTAACACGATCCTTACCGAAGGGGACATTCTATAGCGTTCATCTCATTTTCATTCCCGTATGTTGTTTCCTGTTTGTTTCCCATATCGAACGGCGGGAAGAGGCGTCTTGGCGAGAGTGCGAAACCCCGTGCCGACTTTCATCTCTTACCTGTCTCTCTTCACTCTTGCCGCTCTCGCAGCCACGCCTCGTTTTGCCCTCATAGATGGATCAACATGATAAAAATAAAGGATTTCGAGCATTAAGGCTCAGATCAAGATATGGCGATCACTTCAGGCTTCAACTGCTCGCTGTTTATACTTGCAACGAACAATGGAATCTTCAATTTCAGGCCACCCAGTCCGACTTCTCAAAACTGGATCCAGCCACATCTAAATTGATATTCTACACTCCGAACGGCGCCGTAATTCAGTATGTTTTGAGCAGGTTATATAACAGTGTGTGAATTGATTCGGCTTCTCCATTTCGACATTAGGAAATCTTCCAGCGGTAACCGATAGTCGGTCTAGAAAAGCAAAGAAAGAAATGTCAAAGGTTGCTGAGGCAGCGCTCAAACTTGTCGCGCTTCAACGCGCGCTGCTGCCCTTGAACACGCTACAATTACACTCCAGTTGTACCAGACCCCAGCTTCCCTTTATGTTCTTTCTTCCAGTATTCAATCATTTTTTCAACTGTTCTTCATTTATACCTTATTCTCAGTACCTGGTTTTCAGGTTAACATTGAATTTTAATGTAGTTTTACGAACAAATTTCGTAATTGGGATCAACATGGTGCACCACTGCAAGACATCAAACATCATTATCAACCCTGAGACTGAATAATTAAAGTCGAAAACGGTATACAAAATCATTATCACAGTGTCCTGTATCAAAAACTACATTAAAATTCAATGTTAAAGTGAAAAAGAGGAGCTAAGAATCAGGTAGAAATGAGAAACAGTGAAAAAGGGATTGAATACCGGAAGAAAGAACATAAAGGGAAGCTGGGTCTGGTACAATTGGATTGTGATTGCCGTGTGTTCAAGGGCAGCAGCGCTCGTTGAAGCGCGACAACTCTGAACGCTGCCTGATTCTTCTTTTGCAGGTAGGAATGTCGCTATGTCTATTTGTCTCTCTTCTCCTGATGAGGGCTACTGCGTTGTAGGGGCTCAAAAATGTACTTATAACACCATGAAGCTCAGGAATCCTCTGATATTGCATCCTTTTTCAAGTGATATTAGGTCATCTCATGCAATAACGTGGAAGGTTTTACTCAGGTAAAACCAAGAGGAAAACGGGCAGAAGAGTGATGTTCTGGTTTTGTGCTAACCTAAGTAGTTCCCTCATCTATCAATGACCCGCTTCCAGTGCCCCAAGAGCGTTTGAACCACTGGTGCCTTCATTTTCAACAAGTGCAACTAAGTTGCTCTTGATGCGCATTTCGGCGAATGGCAAATCGTCAAAGCGTTTGCCGTTGGAGAGTACCCTTCAACTGACCAGAACAGGTGAAATTGCGTGGCTGTAGGTCGGGCGAGTGAGGCGATTGAACCCAGGTCTCTGTGGTGTTTGTCCCCGAGCACTCTCCCATGATACGATTACTCGTGGTCTGGCACTGTGACAAGCAATGGTGGCCTTCTCGTAGTTGTGTGGTACCATTTATCTGTCAGTCTTGCCAGGCAATATACACCAACAGTGAAGGTTTTGCTCTCTGTTCAGAGCCCCTTGAAATCCACAGTGCAGAAATCTACTGCTATAACGATTGTCCACTTGGGCCAACGTAACTCGTGGTGATAAAACCCGGGCTGCTTCTCATCTGCACTCATACAAAATTGACTCTTGTGTTCAAGACCACCCATATTTGTTCTAGA